GGTAAAGATGCTTTTTGCGGCGAGGTGATATCAATCCCGGTGCCCCAGACACCAGTTACGGCCAAACACCACTCTCGTTGGCGGCTGAGAACGGGCATGAGGGGGTAGTAAAGATGCTTTTAGAGCGACAGGATGTCAATCCCAACCATGCAGACACCAGGTGGGGCCAAACGCCACTCTCGTGGGCGGCTGGGAGCGGGAATGAGAGGATGGTAAAGATGCTTTTAGAGCGACAGGATGTCAATCCTAACCATGCAGACACCAAGTGGGGCCAAACGCCACTCTCGTGGGCAGCTGAGAATGGGCATGAGGGGGTGGTAAAGATGCTTTTGGAGCGACAGGATGTCAATCCTAACCACGCAGACACCAAGTGGGGCCGAACGCCACTCTCGCTGGCGGCTAGGAACGGGCATAAGGGGGTGGTAAAGATGCTTTCGGAACGGAAAGATGTCAGCCCTACTACGCCAGATAACTAGAACCAAAAACCACTCTCAAGCACTCTCCCCAAAGGACAGGACGGAATTGTGAAGGCCCTACTGAAACGGGACATCGCCAATTCCGACATAGCAGACCGCGGCGGCCAGGCATCCCTCCCGCCCTCGTCTCCGCACGGAGGTAGGTGTGTGGAGACGCAGCTTTGAGGGGATGATCCTAACGCCAGCCTCACAAACATTTATGGCCAACTTGCACTCCCATCTGCAGAGCCCGATGAGCGGGGAGGCATCATACATTGGACCGCATGGGTTCTGTCTCCAAGTCCACAGGTACCAACCCCCCCTCAACCGAACCATCTAGGCTCTCCCTTCCCCCTTCAATATGGCGCCTGAAGTCCGGCACCCCAAGGAAAACTAACTCTCGTCCCACCAACGCTTGGCCAACCCTCTCGATTGCGGTCGACCAGGATTTTATCATCACGTCTTTCACGTTTTTGGCTTTTCTCCTTTACGTCCTTCTTCTCTGCCAGACTTACTCTCTTTCCGTAAATAATTGCCAAGTGCGGGGTTGGTGCAGGGAAGACCTCCGTACCTTCAGATGTAAATTAAATAGACTTTGTTAATGGGCGTTCTTTCCTGGTTTTATCTCCCCTCTTTCGCCTTCCCGCCTTTTTTCATTTCTTAGAGTTCCTTTTAGGTTTGGCCAATTTTTTACCTTGCCTCTATTTCCTTGATAATATTGTTCACCGATATTTGCCTTGTGTTTTTAGAACAGTGGTGCACGGCCCATCACAAGGCAAGTGGGTAGGAGTATGATAGATTACAAGTTTAAACAAACCCGTCCCATATCCTCAGGAAGGACGGTTTATTATCCCCTCACAGTAGCCCCCCTCAATACCGCCAAGTGACCCTATCAGCTTCTCTCACAGACCATCTAACTATCATATACTACGATACCGACGGTACGATAAATACTGCACATTCTAGAAAATTCGCAAAGAATCAAGTCCAAGTTATTACCTGAACACCGCCCACGCTGACATGACAGTAGGATCCCCGGCCCACCCCACACACAGCCTTGACCCCCCTCCGTTGCTCAGATCTCGCACGACACGATACGATACAATAAAAACCCTTCCTATCTTCTTTTAAGTGCAGTCCATACATCCACAGGGGGAGGTCAACCCGGAGATTAAAATCCTCAGAGTCAGACAAGATCCCATGTCACCGATTTGCAATACCATCCCATACATGGCCTAGGTGTCAAATAAGGGCCCGGAGGTGTGCTGGCTGAATGTGGCCGGTCCACCGCACTGAACTTTTCCACTAAGAGAAAAAAAACGGAGAGCTTAGATGGCGGGTGCCCATGTCCTCTCCCCGCTCTGAAAAAGATTCTGAGGAGCAGAGGTTCAGGTGTTACCAGGATACTATGCACGCTTCCTCCATTTCGATCCCCACGCGATGTAATGGAAGAGGCGGCAGTGACTCTGGAATACCTACCATTCCCTCGGCAGTGTGCTTCTGGAATCTATGATATATACATGTAATGGATAGTCGAGTGGAAAGATAGAGGAAGGAAAGAAAGAAAGACAGAAAAAAAACACGACTCCTACTTACTCATGCAGCGTAACTAAGGCTACAGAGCGCACGCCAACTCGGTAGAAGCCTAAACCTCGCTGGTATGATGCGAACCCCCTCGCTAGCCAGCTCACGTCGAGCTATCTATCATAACGGGCCAAGGGTTAAAGGCTCCGAGGCAGATTACATTACTCTTACCTATACCGAGTGATATCACATGACTCAATGTTTCAGGATAACAGCAACCCCCATCCCAACAATCCAGTGTATCTTAACAATTTGGTCATCCTATCGCGGGAATAATATGTTTTCCAAGGGATAACTTGGGCCCACAGCCCCTGCCGGACTTATGATAATCCCCTTGAAAGTAGTTCTAGTGCTTTAGGCTTTAGCCCGGGGCAGATGACCCTAATAACCCTCTTACTCTTCTATTTCACCTTGGCCATGTGTGTTATAGTTCTAGTCATCCTCCTCACAGCACGGCGGGGTCGGGGAACTCTGGAGTCGGGAGTTTGTGGTCCATATTCCGCCCTGTATGGTTAAACCTGATAGCTTAACCTAGTTCTAAGAACGTTCTGGTGGGTTCCCCAAGTTATTCTTCTTTTTTCTCAAAGTTTCCATTTGTTCTGGAGCCCTAGGAAGTACTGGGGTCTAGATACTGTATCGTTTTTGTCGTCCTGACGGTACTCTTGTGATATATCCCTGATAAGTATCTAACCTGCAGACCCAAAGCTAGCCATCTCTACCATGTTTGGGCGGGAAACGGAACCCAACTTCCACTCCTCACACACCTCCAGAAACATAATCAACCCAGATTCAGCCTCCTCTTCATCCCTCTCAAAAATACTCCAAACCGCGGACGCCCTCCAAACAGACAACACCTCCTCGATCATAACAATAGGCATGGAACTCGAATTCCTCATCGTAAAAACCCCACACTCTCCCTCCATCCCACTCAAGGTCCCCATCCTAGAAGCTATCCGTGCTAGCCTACAAAACTTCTTCAATTCAGGCGGCATAAGCATCCAAACCGAAATCTTCCCCCAACGAGCAAACGACTACCCGGACCAAAGCAAATTCCAGTTAATGGAAGAGAAGAGCTGCGACCCCTTCCTCCTCGACAAGGCCACGGGGAAGAAGATCCCGGGGGAGGCGGTCGAGATATGCACACCGATAATGAAGTTCAGAAGTTGGGAGTGGGTAGTACCAACAGTATTCGAGTACCTGATAGGGCAGTTTGACTGTCGGTTCAACCCCACGACGGGCCTGCACGTGCACGTTGGGCGGGGGTGCGGGTGGGATCTCAGCGCCGCAAAATCGATCGCGAAGGCGGTGATCATTTTCGAGTCCACACTAGATCACTACCATCCGCTGCACCGCCACCCCGTGGAGAATTGGTGCATAAACTCAAATAGGCACAATGACAACCTCAAGCACTCTCCAAAATGTGTCATAATGAAGAGGTTAGAATATGTGGACACGGTACAGGGACTAATCAACCTGATCAGCCCCCACAAGTTTTTCAAATACAACTTCAATTCACTGAAGAAGTATGGCACTGTGGAGTTCAGGCAGGCGGATGCGGGGATCAATATGGATCGGGCGGTTCAATGGATTAACCTGATTGTCCGCTTCGTCACAGCGGCTGTGGAGGCCGCCCCAGAGGAGTTTGAGCTCTGGACCGAGGACGAGGATCCCGCGGTTTGCTGCCCTCCGGAGGTTTTCGAGAGGTTCGGTGTCCCGTGGGTGGGCGTGCGGGAGCAGGTTTCGCATCTCTCGAAGGTAGAGGCTGTAGAGGAGTGGGGCCTCGAGATCTCTCGAACGGTCCGGGAGCCGGTAGATCCGTGGACTGGGTTGGAAGTGGAGGTTAGAGTTGGGGAGGCGACTAAACTGCCTCAAGTCACTCGCGAAACAAGCACCCATACAACGATAGAGGAGGCTAGTCTCTATCTTCTATCGCATGCTAATTGGCTTGAGACAGGACTAGGATTGTGAGGTGGGGAACTAACCTACCAGAAGGCTAACCCATTGTAGCCTATATTTTTCTACCAGCAGGGTCGGCGAGATGATTCTATTTTTCGTTTTTCCCAACCACGGAACCCACCACAGTGGTTTATTTCTCTCTAGAGATTATGTGGACAAAGCGAAATAGAGTCATTTATTTTAGGTTGTGGCTGAAACGTGCCGGGGTGTTTGGAGAGGTTGAATTTAATAGATTTGATTATTTCAATTGCCCTGCAGATTGAATGGACCCCAATACCACCGCGATACAGCCTGTGCTAGGGTATGGTAGTATTGAGAGTAATAAAACACATTCCTGAAGCAGGGGAAAGGTATATAGGAAGACCCAAATGGTATCCATAACTTTCCTGATAAGGTTGATCAACCTCGACACACATACTTCTCCCGACTCTCTCCTCCCCTCTCCCTTCCTCCTATGTATCCCATGTCTAATCTCTAAACTTTATGGCTATCCTAACGGAGTCTCTAAAAAGAATCTCTAACTAAAATACCCCGGCAGCATAAACTCCATCTTCTTCACCGCCTCGGAGCTTCTTCCGGCAGACTCGGTACAACATGCCCACTTCGACAACCCATCCAAGTGCTTTGCCTCAACAAGGTTCCGGTGCTCCTCCTTCGCCAATTCCTTGAGTATAGCTGCGGCGAGGTGCTTTGCGTTGGCGCTGTTGGCGTGCATGTTGCCCATAACTGTCTCGACTGTTACGGCGGCTTCGTCGGTTTCTTATCAAGATACCATTAGCGGATGATGTGGGAGAGCGGAGAAGGACTGAATACTCCAGCAGTCATAATCGGTAGACATGCAAACCATAACATAAGCGATTTCCGCCTCCCTCGCAAGTTTTGCTTCCGGAAGTGCAGACATATTAATGACGTCCCCACCCCAGGATCTATACAGATTACTTTCGGCGCGGGTGCTGAATTGTGGACCCTCTAATCACCTCCCCCAACCGTTAGAACCTCGCCATGCCATCCCACCGCTTCCGAGGATCATACCCATACAAACCAACAACCCATCTTTATGCATCTTCACCCCCTCCCCGTTCAGCACCCCATCGCTCCCGATATCAAACACAACCTTAGCCAGCCCCGCATCAAACGGATCAGCAAAGCCCACGTGCCCTACCAACCCGCCCTCAAAAAAGGTGCTCGCTCTAATTCCCTTCGTCCGGTCAATGATCTGTGAGGGGATGATAAAGTCGCGAGGGCGAATGTGTTCCTGCAAGCTGCCGACAGCGGAGAACGCGATGATGGAGCGGACACCGATGGACCGGAGAGCGGCGATGTTGGCGCGGCTGGGAACCTCCGTCGGAGTGAGTTCGTGGTGGAGGCCATGGCGCGAGAGGAATGCGATGGGAGTATTTTGCGGCGTTTTGAGGATCGCGATAGGGCTGCTGGGGGTGCCGTAGGGTGTCTGTATATGAAGGCTTGCAACAGCCTAAGCGGGGTGTTAGTTTTCCCGGGGGTGAATTTGGAGGATTAGAAACCGGAATCACAGTACGGTAAATCCTTCAGCTTTCAAAGCCGAAATTCCAGTCCCGCCAATTACCGCAATGCATACGGGCTCTATTCTCAAACTCGTCAGCAATACTTCCCCAGGGCGAGGAAGCGCACAAACCGGAAAAGGTATGCGGCAACATCCTGGCGTAACTATATGGTAATTTAATCCTCCGAGAATTTTTCGCAAAGCCAATGGCAGAGGTAGATGCGGTCGCGGTGGTAGGTCCTTTCAATGATCTGTAAAAACAAGGGAAAGAAATTCGCATCGGTAGGGGGGGGGGGAGAAAAAGGGACCCCGCACTACGGTAGCTTTACCAATATCGATAAAGGGACTCGGCAAATCACGGTAAATTAGGGAGGGATGGGAAGTCGGAAGCGCTGTTACCCTCCTTTAGGATAATCATTTCTCCATGATCCTAACTTAATGCTCATACCGTAGGCGGACATCTTATGAATCCCCAATGCGGTATACAGTATGATAGCAGGGGGAAACTCGCGTGCTCGGGTTATCCAAAGTGCATAAAAAGACCTGGCATAAATCGAGATATTACGGGCTTGCCCAACTACAATACACCCGATTACAACCGAACGTTTTATGGTGCCGGTATTATGTAAGGGTACAAGAGCGCTCCTGTCACCCTTCCCCACTTTCCTAAAAAAAAACCTTAGAAGGACCTATCGCGATAAGCGGAGAGATCCATCACCACCATTTACTACGAGTAGTAAGTCACCCGAGTATGCTGTAGGAGCACGAGAACCTGAGATGATTCGCAGACCCGATCAGAAGAAAGGCGGGAAGCGATGATCTCAAAGAAAGGAGTGGAGACCACGCCCTGCAGTGTTTAAGGAAGAAAATAAGTCAGTGACCGCCAACCCGCACACAGGCAAGGAATGCATATCTTGTCCACGGCATACGCATTCCTGCGACGTGCTCACGCAACACCGTAAGGTGCGAAGGCTCTGATTGTGAAACGAATAGTAAAGCTATACGAGATACGGCACTCGAGTAGACGCAGACAATACCGAACCCACCCTCTAATATTTACCGTACCTTTTTCCTCCTAATTCAAAGTTACGGATTTATTTATTTATTTATTTTCCTCCCTCTGGAGGTGCAGGGCTAGGATCGAGTGATATCTGGTGACACCGACCATCACTGGAGAGGAGAGAAGACCCCCAGGGACCAAGCACCCGTCCCTTGCTCTGGAAAATATCGCGAATGTCCGGGTGGGCCGTGTACCGTAAAGTATCGGAGCAGGAAGTGGACCAGACGCAGAAGCGAATTACTCAAATCCTCACAGAAGAATTTTTACACGGAAATAATCTTGTACTGAAGAATACTTGGTGGCTGGTTTCTGAGGTATACGATATGGGGTTTTAGAGAGAGTGAGCTCGATGTATTGGGTGATATCGTAGAGGAGAGTAATATAGATAATGAGAAGGAGATGAACGATAGTAATTTTTCTTGAGGAAAATAATGACAAACAAGACATAGAACTTATAAAGACAATACCATAAGTTCTAGATTCTCCGAGATCAATTGTCCTTTGTCTTTCCAAACAAACTAGCAGGGAAAACTCTTCACCTCACCAATAGCGTCAAACAGATGAATCTTGTGTTGTTTGAGAGCTCACCTCCGTGAGACGGAATGGTAACCTTAGTGCCTGCACCAATGTTTCAGGCTGAAGCGTGCCCCACAGTACTGTACTAGACTCGGACATTTCCAACAAGAATTTCCGCCATAACCGAATATCCGAATTCGACTGAAAAAAAAAAAGAGCAAATCTAACATGCTATGCCGTCCAGAATGTCACGTGCTTCCGAACTTCCTCTCCCTACCGCTAGATGTTAATTGAGATTTCTAAATTTTCACTCTTTTCGGTCCATTTTTAGATGATTCACTTCCCTGTCCAACCCACCCCCCGGCCAGGGCGTTCAAGACCGACTCCAAGACCACCTCCGCCAGCAGGACCACGACACCTAGGGCGAAAGCCTTAATGGGAAGAGTGGCCCCAAAATGTGCGGAAATTTTCTTATGAAGGTCCTAGAGTTTGTTGATGATGTTGTGAGCATTTGTGATTGATCATTAATTGGCATGCAGAAGAAAGTCGGGGGGGGGGGGAGGGAGAGATTACAGTTAGTGCTCCTCCGGCGGATTCTACACACGCAGTACTAGTACAACTTCTTGTAATGTATGCTTCTTTTTTTTTGTCGGTTTCTTTCTACCATACCACCTCGATTACCCATTTGCTTTCTCCACATTCCCCCACCCCTTTTTTTGAGCTCACGGGAGAGCCTGGTGTATTTCCAATGCACATGCTGAGACAAAACGATAAACTGGAGACCAGTACATTCCAGTTCAAGGGAATTGCTGGTATTAAGGGTGCACAGGCGTCAACTCGGGATAGGAGAGGCGGATGAGAACTAGGGCAAGCAGACTGGAAAGAAAAATAATAATTGTATGATGCGATATTATCGTAAAGCAAGGATATTGGTATTAGAACAAGCACCTAATAGTCATCGGGAGACGGGATTTTCGAGTGATATCAAGTGACCATCGCAGAATGCTGCTAGATAAACGATTAATCTATTCCGACTGTGCGCTATCATATTACCATACAAGTACTCCCTTGGCACATTTAATACTTGAACACATGCTATAACTAACCCAAGCGTAACCTCGCCAACTACGTGCTAGGGACGCATTTATTTACTCAGGCCTCCAACTTTTGTCACCTCCCCAGAACTCCCGCCTCCAGTCCTACCTCCACCTCGCCCCCTACGCCCTTTACCCCTCCCACTGCTACTACTGTAACTGCCACCCGCGTCTTCACCTCCACCTCCACCACCACCCGCACCCCCTCCCCCTCCCCCTTGGCCATCCTTTCGGTCGCCACCACTCCCACACCTGCCCCGAGACTTCATACCACCACGCTGTACTGACTTTTCCGCAGCTGCCGCTGTCTCAAGCCTCACTCGCTCACATTCTGCATCCCACCATCTCATGAATTCCTGCTCTTCTTGGATCTCTTGGAGGCTTCGTTTCGCAGTGTGCTCGCGGAAGAGCTCCTTATGGGCCTCTTCCTCGGAGATGATGTCTGCAAGTGATAGTTTGGGTGTTGGCTCCACGGACGCCGCAGATGCCGGCCTTCGGAGCGTCGCAGACTGCGAACGAACGGTAGAGGTTACTGCCTCTGGCGGCGGATTGGATGTGCTTAGGACTGGCAGTGAAGAACGTGTGGCTTGAGCTATTGGTAAGGTGGGTAAAACTGCCGATGGGATTGGTGTCGACACCGTTCGACTCACAGTCCGCTCACAACTGTCTCCGGTTCCCTGTTTTGGCGTCCTTAGAATCGGCGTGTCGGGCGCAGGTACAGAGACTTCGCTGGCTAGGACCTCCTTGAGACTGACTCGCACACCAGTATTCACAGGTAACCATGCGGGCTTCGCAGAGTCCGTGCTCGGCTTTTGGGTCTGTGTAGGAATGGCTAGCTCCGGAGATGCAGCTGCGGCGAGTGCTGCCTGTCGCTTTCGCTCCTTTTGCGATAACCTAGTGGGAGTGAGCTTTTCTTCGGACAGACCGATGGACAAATCCGATTTCTTCGATGAAGATGCTTGCTCCATTATCTGCTTCATATCTAGCTTCTCGCCTCCTAATAAGACCGGAGAAGCTCCCCATGGTTTGGGTGGTGTAATCAGGGCTTTAGCCGGAGTAGAAGATTCATGTGAAGGAGGCGAGTCACCAGCGGGAAACTGCAAGCCTGGGTTGGGTAAAGGGATATCAATCCCTTTTCCCTTTACATCCACCCAACCACCTGACGTTCTTGGGATACCGGAGGTTGGACTAGGATACCATCCCGTCTGGGCAACTCCGGACAGAGTCTCCGGAGAAGCCCATGCATTTTGAAGTCCCATTTCCTCAGTCTTGGGTGCCTCAGGAGCAAAACCAATTCCCGAGCCCTCTCCATCCATATCGAAGATCATTTCCCCACTCGCATGTGGCTCGACAGTCGCGCTGGTTCCTGTTTTGATAGACTCCTTGCTCGCTTTCCCTTTCCCCTTTTGTGAATGAGAAGATCCGAAAGGGTTCAGGTTCTCAGTGTAATTTCCTACTTGGCCGTTCCTGAGCGAAGTGGAAAGAGAGGCATCATTTCCTTCTGGTATACATGATTCAATCAAGGCTTCCCTTTCCTTAGCTGCTGCATAGAGCATATTAGGATATATCTCTCGAAGTAGCTCCTCTTGAACTCCGGTTCGGGAGCGTGGGAAAAGCTGCTGTTGAATGGACTTTACGACCCCATCAAGATCCATCATAAGATCGGCATCTAGCTCGTCGAGGAGACTGGGGCAATTTAGCTAAGTGCAAAGATATCAAATGCCGATTACTCACTGATTCTCAAGCATAGTCTCCATATTTAAGCAGATGTATCGCATGCACATATCCTTGAAGCCATTTTCCGAGCAACCGGCTATGGCCATCAACATTTGCGCAGCGTTCCTCGTGCTGACTATCGTCAACGCCGAAATTAGAGTTGGGCCACGAATAAACTAGATGACCAGGGAACCATTTACCGTAACGTCCTAGAATCTTTTGACAGACTTGGCACAGCCTGCCCAGCATCAACTCATTTGCAACACCCATTACCTCCAAAACAAAGTCTATGAATTCTTCAACTTTTCCACTTTCCTTCCCAACCTTGATACCATCAAAGCCTTCGACGCCCCAGTCCGAGTACAGCCAATTGACCACCATGTCCATGGCGGGTTTCGATATATGCTTCATATCAACCCTGACGATGCCTTCTTCGCGCCTCTTCATAAGCCACCGCCCACCACTACCGTATAGGGCTTTGAAAAACGGGCAGCGAGCTTTCATGATGACTGAGTGTACCAACATGCTTTCCCCATTTGCAAGTTCAATCATCATATCCGTCGATTCTTCGAATTCCGAGCGCGAGGGACCCGACAAGACATTCGAAAAATCGCTATCCATGGAGCAGGAAAGGTGAGGTGCTACTTCTAGGGCCTTTGCGAGGTGATCGAGACGGATTTGGGAGGAAATCGACGAAAGCTCAGAGCGGATAGCTCTATAGTGTTGCATTCTAGAGTGGTGAACGTGGGCATGATTCCAAATGTCAACAAGAGAGTCAGTGTAGACGAAGTACAAGAGAATCAGAAGTGTCTGTAGTTTGATGTCCTTGAATACTAATCGTGATTTCTCCTCCGAGGTGGTTGAAGGAATGAATTCGCCGAAAGTGCCAACACAACGAGGCCCCTTAACAAAGAGGCTTCTCAGAACCGACGATCTTGCAGCGAGGAAGACTCTATGAGCTGGGATGTTAATCCCCGGGCAATCTGAAGCTGACACTAAAACATCGCAGTCCTCTGATCCGGAAGATTCCAGACAAGAAAGGTACTCGCAAAGTCCCGCCTTCAAAGAAGAACTCATGAGCCATTTGACAGCCTTGACATATCCCTCTGGTGCTCCTAGAGGTTTGCGGATCTTGATCTTGTCTTTGCTGTCGTCCGGCTGCTTGTGACTATTGAATGCACCAGTGAAAGGCAGGAGAGGTTCAAGATCTTTCCATAGCATGTGATCGTCAACCAGCAATCCGGTCTTCATGATGTCGGGATCCCTTCGGATGGCGGCGTATGCTCCAAAATTGTTGCTTCTAATAACGACAATTTTGGTCAACCCAGGCACTCGTTCGAATTTGTACCGGCTGCCCTCGATCCCAAGCGCACGGCTCCTCTCTCGCTTCACTCGCTTGACCCTTCTCCAAACGCTCCCATTTTCTGTGCACAAAACGATAGATCCATCATGACCAACATCTACATCCCTAGCAGCCATATGTCCCTTCTTCAAACTCCAAGCTCTTACTGTTGGAATCTTGCCAGTCCTTGGAGCCTTTCCAGCGTTTTCTTTCATGAACGACTCGGCATCGAGAGTGAAAACATCACCTGAGACACTAAGCAGACATAGTGTATCTCCGGCACCAGTAATCTTGCTTAGGGAATAGCCACGGCTGTGCTTCGAAAATTGGAATACGGGACTCCAATCCAATCCTCTTTGCAAAGGAAGTTTCAACTTATAATATCCGAAGTTGGCCAAAATCCAGACCTCCTCATCCCCAAGAAGTACAGCAGTAGCTTTATCGATAGCGGCAACATCGCGTATCTCAGATGATGCAGTCAAAAACGTAGCAGTCACTTTGCGAGGCGCTGTCTGTGCTGCTAGCGTCTTTGCATCCAAAGAGTCAAGAACCCCCAGTTGGCCATCGTTCTTGCCAAACGTGAACAGAGAATTATCGGTAACTAGAGCTGTGTGAATTCTCGATGCTGCGCAACCAATGATCTTCTCCCGTTTCAATGGTCCGGAAACCTGTCGTGGAGTAGTCTGGATAGGTTCGTCCTGCAGAGTCTTCCGCTGAATGACGTACCCAAGCTGTCCCCATGTATTGGATCCCCATGTCCAAACGTCGCCTTCTTCGAAAATAACGACGGTGTGATCGAGCCCCAGAGCTACTCTTGTAACTCTCCTCTTTGGCAAAAGTGGTGGTGGCAATGGACGAAGTGTGAACTGGGTTTGTTCGTCTCCAAATCCCAATCGCCCTCCCCGACCAAACCCGCAGACATAAAGATTATTACTCAAGTCACCGGTTAGAACAGCAGTATGAAGCTTAGATAGTTGAACATCTATAATACGTAACGGGGTAAATAATGTTGCGGAATCGAGTAATTCTTTGGCATCTCCGCCGGCATCACGAAATTTGTCCTTAACCAGTTGCAGAAGCTGCTTCTCGTCCCTTTGGATTGGTACCCGCTCGGGGTAGGAACGGTCATCGCCATCCGGAAAGCCCAACGTTAAATTCTTGTTGGATCCGAACGCGAAAATCTCGTCACCGCCATCGTCAGAACGGGAAGCCTCCGACTTTTGTCGACCCGGTAATATCTCATCCTCGTCTTCCATATCGTCTGAATGGGGGGCACTTTTGCTTTTTGGTGAAAATAGCTTTTCAATTCCACGAACCGAAGCCTCAAACACCTCAAAAGGACTGTCACCTGCATGATCCTTAACCCCCACAGAGGATAAGTCATTCGAGAGAATAGCTCTGGCAGCAGATATATTCCCGTGGTAGAGTGCACGGTGTAACGCAGTCCATCCTGACTCCAAGTCCTGTATGCACGGGTCGATGAGTGAATGTGACAATAATGCTTCCACAAACGGGAGACCACGGCTGTCGGAAGTGCTGCAGGCCAAGTGCAAAATAGTTCTCCCATAAGTATCCGATTCTTTCAATGACTGTCGCGTGAGAACGATATTCGCTGGTGGGGATCCCGGTCTCGGTTTTCCGTTGTTGGCCGGCTGGTACTGTTTTGACGAAACGGGAGGGTTTATGGTCGACCCTGCTGTTGAAGATCCACCGGCGCCACGGGAATACGAGCTCGAAACAGGACCCGCCAGAAGACGTTGAAACTTTCCAACGTCATTCTCGAGATAGTAGCGCCAAAGATAGCTGCTCATATGCTGGTGAAAGCGGACCCTTCTATCGCCCAATTCACCTACCACTGCAGGGGTGAGGTGAAGAGCGAGAGAAGGAGTGGGTTGGATTGAGAGAGCTTTCTCAATCCGGATATCCGAGCTGGAGGTTGGAGGCGCTAGTTACCGGTGCTAGAGCTCTACGGACGTAGAAATCTTGGAGACGGTTGGTTGACTGGGTTCCGTGGGGGTTGGCGGTTGTGGCGAGAGGAGAGAGGGAGGGGAAAAGTCGGACGAAACTTCAACGTTTAGGAATGAAAGGGAAGGATAATACACGTAGAGTGGCGTAATTCAAGAACAGTGCACCGGTACAAGCAAGATATGGATGGCAACGATGGTTGTTTCGTTTAAAGATTTCCTGCACACGTATGTTTCACGAGGGATGATTGGACGAACAGTTGGTTTCAGCGGGAAACCCTCGGCGGAGAAAGTGATTCGCTGAGGTCTCGAAGTAACATCAAGACCCGGGTTTTTTCTCTACACTGTAACTTACATCCGTACTTTTCAAAATTCAGCACAGGTACGGTAATCCCTGACGGACGGTCTTTATTCAACGTTCCATATAATAAGGGGCTCGAATATGAAATTTCCCAACTCGAGAGCGATTCTCCTCTGTATCCAAAGATATCACACACGGAAGATGTCTCCAGGATCGACTGAGGAATGACTAAGAAGGATCCTCGCTCAGATTCGGTACGCCATGAGCAGTAACCCTGCCTTTGTAAAAAACGTGACTGCAAATTTCCAATTTTGGCCGACACACACAAGTCTTGGCATCCTCTCCCGAGCAGCATAAAAGGCCCCTTCTCCCCTCCCCCCTCTTCTCTCACCATGCGATTTTACTTCATAGGATCATTTCTATAGTAAATCGTCCCATCTGAAACTCCAACCAGAGCAACAGATTCTCCAACCTGGGGGATGACGATTATCTCCTCGGGACCCAAGAGTGAAGCCTTTTTACCTCTGCTTCGGCGGTGGTGGTGATGATCTCGACCCAAACTGCCGTTTTCTCTTCGGAGCGGGCGATGAGGGTGGGCCCCGATGGAAGTCTGACAGGTTCCGCATCATTATTCTTTACCTATTTCAATGTATTAAATTATCTAAACCAATGCATCGTGCTCTTCACTAGTTTTACCTGCAATTGTTGGCGCTTCCACCAACTCTTGTGGTGTTGTCCTACCTTGTTGCCGGTACATGAAGGTGAACTTGCTTGCCCAACCGCACGAACTCCTGGCTGCAACGAGACGTGGTAGGTCTGGCATCGGAGAGCTTGCACACTACGAGTAAAATCGATTCCTAAACTATACTGAGGTTGGGCTATAATAGTCTATCGATCATTGATGGGCCTGAGGTTGCGCGAGAACCAATTGTAGTGGGCAAGCTCTCTATTGAAGTGCTCTTTTCCTTGAACTACCCAAGGAGTCCTGGTCACTATCATCAACCTCTGGTGCACCTAAGGGACAAGGCCCCTTCACCGCCGCCTCTTGCCCTCAAAGTTCATTCTGGTACTGATTCTACGCGAAGAAAACCGCCCAAAAGTCATTGTGCCCCTCTAGGGAGGAAATGCCCCCCGTAAACTCTTGCAGAGCCCTCCCTCTCCCAGTCTTCCACGGTAAGGTATCATAATGGCGCCGTCAGATACGAAGATATCTTCACTGGGTCCAAGGGATCGGCGGGGTAAGATGTCAGTCTGAAATGCTAGTAATTTGCTGCCATTTGAGGAAAGATACTTTCCGGATCTCGTTGTTTTCCTAGATAGCATCTTGGACGCAGCACCAACGAACTTGACGCGTACGGGACAGAGCACCATCCGGAGTTCTCCCACATTTTCGGTGGGAGAACCATATCTACGCGCTGTTACTTGTAGCATTCGGAGACAAAGGATGGGAGCCGGGGTAACAAACATTTGGATCTGCGCCCAAGCAGGTGATCTATTCCGAGCTTTGTCGTGCTGGTTCGGATAGTCTACATTGCTAGTAGACACCGAGAAAACTCGCTTCCCCAGGTCCATCGCCTATCTACGGCAGGGTCATTTGGCACTTGCAGTATTTTCTCTTATTCGGAAAATCCAAATTCCAAACAGAAATTTCTAGTTTCTTGGCGTGCGGACATAATTTGTATGGAGTACTAGTACTTGTACTGTACGAGTAACGACTCAACCCGGTTATCGGATGAAAAATAGGTTCCAAATGGCTCTCGTCTCTTCATTCAGAGACAAAATACCTTGAGAGGGAAAAGCGCTTACCTGAGACGGTATAGCCTGAACTAGCCCGTTGGAATTACAAGTACTTGTACAGCAGTCGACGGACGTTCGTAATTTGGTTACCTGCCAGGGCGGCAGCGTGCAACCTTGCCGCCACAGAGTGGCTTGCGTGTGAAAACCTAAAGTAGTCCTCTTGACTGCCCTCTTCCAATTAGAAGAAGAAAAGAAATCGGAGCTGGGGTTGCACACTTCTCCCCCGGCTTCTAGAACCATAGCGAATTGTTCTATTACCGGTACGGTACGGTGCTGGTACTCTTGTTTCTCACAAGAGCGTGCCATTGAGTGGCTGTTTGGAAAATTTCTCGGAGCGGACGTTATGTGGCCGCAAGAAAAACCCTGTGGCAGAAGCTTAGTTTCGGTTGCCCAGCCAACCCCGTACCGGTACCCTTGATTTGAATACGGCACCCTTGCCCCTGCTTTGCATACACACAACACACGAAAATCTCAGACAGCCAACAGACAGGGTCTGTCTGTCCTTCCGAGGGAGCGGGTGTTATCTCTGATTCATACCGCCCGCATCCCTTCCTCGTCACAAGCCTCTATCCAAGTTTGTGTGGATGGTTTTTACATCTTAGGCCTCCAGTTTAAGACTGCACGAATCCTCTTAACCTTCCATTCTCCGCGCCTGACGAGCCCCGTTCGCTTCCTTAACTCCAAAATTCCTCATACACAATGAGTTCATCGCCTCCGAGTCCTCCGTATAGGCCTCAAGCTACTTCCACGTCCTCCTCCTCCTCCTCCATTTCCGGCCCCTATGGACCGAAGAATACTTTGGATAAAGGTACCCCACGAGGATTTGTCGCAGGTAATAATCGCCCTCACGAGCTTCCAAAGTTCGGCTCGACGACCCCTATGAAATCAACCATTGCGTCGGTCGCAGGGGTTCAGGTCAATACCGTGCCAGACCGAGGATTAGGCTATGGGATAGGCAAGGGCGATTTAGGGCCAGACTATACCAAGCACGGTGGGCATAGTAATGAACAGAGGAATGCAGAGGAACGTAAGTACTTGAGTTTCCTTTTGCGAAGTTGAGGGGTTCTCTCGCTTCCTGCGCTATTTGCCTGTAACAGGGTGTATGGATCTGAAGTCCTTGATTGACCTCCCTGGCAACAGCCCACCGACATGTTCCTGCTGTGATTGCTAGAAGAGATGAGTTTATGCAACCTTTGCCCCTTGGTGGGCCTAAAGACGCCTGGAGACCTCGCAAGCCGACAAACCCAACCAGTGCAATTGACCTTACAGCTATCGATGACCAGCTTCCCGTTGTCATTCCTCGTCCTCAAGGTGCCCCCAGCTTTCATTCTACCTATCGCGGGGACCCTTCAAGCTCTGGATTTACATCTATCAACCAAGGTGCACAGAATGTAATTGACCTTACAAAGCAGAATAGGCGTTTTCCGCCTACATTTTCGATACCTGGAGGGGGTGCTATTCCGGGTGCGGATGGAACATATTATGGTGGGACATATGTCGACCATGAGAAAACCACCGAGAGTATTAAGGAGCTTCTGGAGGGGATTAACGATTTTCCTGCGACTAGAAGAAGCCGAAGAAAGAAGACTAAGAAGGTCGTCGCCGATGAAGATAAGGAGCTGACTGAATTAATGCAGGGAATGAATACCGGGGAAGTTGTCGAGCTAGCCCTGGAGGAAGGGGCGGGAGTGAAGGCAGAAGTCGAGAGGGGGGGAGAAGAGGGGGAGGAGGAGGAGGAGGAGGAGGAGGAGGAGGAGGAGGATGAAGATGAAGAGGAGGAGGATATGAGTGTGGTCGAAGGCCTGAATGTCACGCTCCTCCCTCATCAGGTCCGTGGTTTGTCTTTTCTGCTTAGCCGGGAAGAGGGGAAGGCTAGAGGTGGTATTCTTGCGGATGATGTGAGTGCTGCGCTCCTGGTTCTCAGGTTTATAAACTAACACCGATGTCAGATGGGCCTCGGGAAGACAATTCAGTCAATTTCGCTTATTCTCTCACATCCTCACCCGAACTACCCACTTAACGGCTCTCGTTCTGCGCTTTCACCCCAGACCAGGAAAGCAGCCGCGAGATTGCCTTCTGATCTTGAGAAGGGAACTCTTGTTGTTGCTCCATTGGCTCTTATCAAGCAATGGGAGGCGGAAATTGCGAGAAGGACAACTGATTCCCATAGAATGCGTGTTTGTGTTCACCACGGCCCTAACCGTGCTAAGGATCCAAGTAAACTACGACGATACGATGTTGTAATCACGACTTACGATATTATCCGCTCCGAACACGGGGGCCCCTCCTTTGCCGAGGGCGGTGATGGGCCCGGACAGCAAGTCGGATGTTTCGGTCTACGTTGGTGGAGAATTATACTTGACGAAGCTCATATGATCAAAAACAGACTCGCCAAATGTTCACTCGCCGCTTGCGCACTAAGGGCCAGATACCGTTGGTGTCTTACTGGAACACCACTGCAAAACAAAATCGAGGAACTTCAAAGTCTTATTAAATTCTTGAGAGTTGCCCCATTTGACGATCTTGCGGTTTGGAAGGAGCAAATTGCCAGGCCAATGACTCAGGGTCGCGAGGGTGTTGCATTAGAGAGGCTCAAAGTAGTTTTGGGGGCAATTATGCTTCGTAGAACCAAAGCTGTTCTCAGGAAAGATGGCGAAAAACTTGAGGCAGAAGGTGGCCAGAATAGGATGAAACTTCCCGCGAGAAAAATGGAGAAGGTCGCCGTTCACTTCGACGCACGGGAAAAGGAATTCTACGAAAAGCTGGAAACCAGGACAGAGGAGAACTTGGAGAAGATGTTGGGTGGGTTCGGAGCGGTTGGCGGCAAGGGTCTCGGTGGTGTGAACATGACGAGTGCTTTACTTTTATTGCTGAGGCTACGCCAGGGTAGGTCTCCTCGGGATCCTATTTGGTTCTGGGGCTAATGAGTATATAGCCTGCAATCATCCCCAACTTGTGGCAGGAAAGATTCACAAGGATAAGGAATCCGGACTTGGCTTGGCCACACCCCGCAAGAAGCCAAGCAAGCCAACCACGGCCGTTGATGATGGATTGGATGATGAGCTGGCTGGATTACTTGGTGGGCTTAGTGTCGATGCTAAAAAATGCGACGTTTGTTTTTCGGACCTGACAAAGGAGGAATCACAACGTGGTGAGGCAAGATGCGCCCATTGCCGGGCGGATCTAGATGAGCTCTCAATGTCTGCTAAGAAGGCAAAGAGAAAGGAGAAGATTAGGGCGAAAAAGATGACAAATAGGGGGAGGCCAATCGTCCTCGATAGTGACGACGAAGAGGGTGAACCTGAACTAGAGGGAGAGGGCGGAGATGACAGTGAAGGGAGCCAAGCCGAAGAAGGAACAGATACATCAGATGAGGATGATGATATTAGGCCAGGCGCCCGAAGGATTCAAAGTCTTATCGATGATGAGGCCGAAGAGGCGTCTGAAGAGGAATCGGACGAGGGCCAGCCCAGTCCTACCATTTCTACGAAGATTAAGTATCTTTTGGCCGTATTGAAGAAGGAACTGAAGTCGAAGAACAAGACTATCGTCTTTAGCCAATTCACTAGCATGCTGGATCTTATCGAACCTTTCCTGCACAGAACGGGAATTACGTTCACTCGGTATGACGGAAGCATGAAAAACGACGACAGGGAGGCCAGCTTAAGGAGACTGAGGGGAGAGGGAGAATATGCGCCCGGGCCCGGGAGGGAAGATAGAGATTGGTGCGGGGTCCTGCTATGCAGCTTGAAGTGCGGAGCGTTAGGATTGAACTTGACGGCAGCTTGTAGAGTGGTTATATTAGAACCGTTTTGGAATCCGGTTCGTCTTCCGGTGGCTCTATTTGTGTCTCAATGCTAATCACTGGATATAGTTTGTCGAAGAACAAGCCATCGATCGAGTTCATCGTATTGGCCAGGAAACTGATGTGGTCGTTTACAAAATCACCGTTGCTGGCTCAGTAGAAGAACGTATCCTTCAACTCCAGGATCAGAAGAGAGAGCTTGCTAAGGCAGCCTTCGGAGATGGTGATGGCGGCCTCGGAAATGCTAAGGCGGCCAAATTGAGTATGAAGGATATCCTGTATCTTTTTAGGCGTGACGCTGAAGGGGTCAATTCATCCGCTGAGGCACGGGGCTTGGGCGCTCGCACCAAAATCTTGGGCAAGGGCCCCAGCAGAGGAGACGATGAGAGGGGCGTGGGTTATACCCGGGAGGCGCCGGGGAGATATGTTACTCCGAATGCTGAAGAGGAGCGAGAGAGAAGGAGGGTGAATGAGATCTCTAATCCTTATGGTAGGAGGTAGTCGCTTGTTTGTGATTTTGTTAGCTTTGTTGTCAAATTCGGGCTGGAACAATGCATGGGTACGGGTTACGCTTTTACGATATCATTCATAAAAATTAGCGTTCTCAACTCTAAAGCTTTTTTTTTGAGACTCCCGTGACCAAGCTGTGAGCTGTTGCTATTTGAAAATGTACCGTATAATGAGGTCCGTGCCACTCCGCCCCAATCCAATCAGGCTCAAGAATTCTCGCAAAGTACACCCATTCACACACTATCACTCGATAGGACCCCCCCCCCCGTGAAGTGTTGCGAATATTGACTTTATGTTAGAGAAAACAGAGGAAGAATAATGAGATTGTGACTACTTCTATCTCTGGCAGTGCTGGTGACTTATATACCATATAGCAGTTACTCTACACAGTTCACTAAAAGGCCAAGTAGACAAAAAACCAAAGACAAGTCTGCTAGTGAGGACTTCATTACATCGTACTCCGAATCCATACAAGAAAGCCGATGAGTGATAGTATGATCTTGTGAAGCCAACATTTCCAACATGAAGAAAAAAAGCGACAAGGCCACATATCATACCACCATTACGTGGCGGGAGGTTTAAGAACGCGCTCCTCCACCTCGGAAACTCACTGTATAAGCCGGCCTTTCCGCCCAGCCGTGCCCTGTTCCTCCTTTTTCCTCGGGGCGGCTTTAGAACACTGCGAGATGGAGGAGCGGGAAAGCTCCAAAAGAGCGTAATTGTGTCGGCTCTGTGTTACAGATTTGTTAGGGAATACGGTAAGCATCCTGGACCCTTGTGTTGGATGACACGCTATTCTTGGCGCTTTTTCTCTTCTATATATATATATATATTCTTTTAAGTTTTCCCGAGAGCGATTTCTTGTAATGGGACGTCCGATCGGATCGGCAGGGTTGGGAGATATAGATCGCTTCACCGGGGTGTACGGAGGTATCGTACGAGTGGTGTGAGGATAAAGTATGGCTGGCTCTTGTTGGTTGATTTCTGGGGGTTAAGATTTTTTTGCTACTTATTCTCTAGGGGTTCTTGTAGGTAATATCTGGTGATGATATGGTGAGGTTGAGGGAATTTGCTCAGCTAGAATCCCCTCGAGCTGGGATTGCTATTCTGCGGGGGTTTTTTTATTTGGTGGCCCCAGATGTTTCTTTGGGATTTTGGTATTCAGTCTATGGAGAGCTGGATTGATGGTGGCTTTTAACCTGTGATCGGGAGGGTGGGATTGAGCACTGTATGCTTCCTTTCATCTGTTCCCGTTGCGTGCCAGGGAGTGGACCAACCAGCCCGCGTTTGTTGTGTTCAGAGCCCGGGATATTTTTTGCACTTGCATATTATTATCCTAGCGGTAAGGTGTAATGAGGCATTCGGCAGTTCTCGAGATTATCATGCACTGTTGCTCTTCCCCATCCCCCCCCCCCCCTTTTTTTTTTTAAAAAAAAAAAGACTGATTAAGATCGAGGTCAAAGTTTTTTGTTTCATCACTCGACTGGTGTTGATATCAGTATTGTTGGAGAGATAGAACGGCTCCATTTTTGAATTAAACAGTTTTGTTCCTTGAGGAACCTGTTCTTATTGACCATCTCTATAGTAGGGTGACCGCGGTAGGGATATGCGAGATTCCCGTCTGGAGAGGTTATGGAGGAGATTTATCTGTATAACTATTATATTTTCTGATTGATGGCAATAGTTTATAGCAGTGATACTCCTTCTGAAGCAGATCGAAAATTTTGGTTTTCCCTTCATTATCGGGTCTTGCGCTTGCGTTTTGAGATATCATACCCCATGTGATATGCCCGGCCTGCCGATTGAGATCTTGTGACGGGGTGAGAAGCGGTGCGATCTTAGTCAATACTTCTGCGAAAAAATCGGCGAAAGTCTGATAAAAGTGAAGAGTAAACAAAATCCAGGTGAAACCGAAACATGAAGGCCCTGTTCGGCGCGTCACTTTTATGGCATAAAACTGACTTTTACGGTTATAAATTTTGGCAACTAAAACTTGGCGTTCGTTTGCATAGAGAAATATCATGATTATTTTTTTCGGAATATGAATATATCGGGTCAAAAGCTGGGCTTAGGGCTAGCAATATAGAAAAAGTATAAACATGTAATTATATAATAAAGATATAAGTAATGCATTTGCTATCCTAACTGTTTTTTCTTTCTTTTCTTTCTCTAACCTAAAGTTAAACTGATTGATAGCCCTTATTTCTAAGAAGTAAGAAATAGGGTATTTATGGTTTTTTTTTTTTTTTACAGAATATTTACTTTGTGTGGGCACAAACGAACACACATATTTCAGAAATATTCCTTATTTTAATTTTATAATATATACGGTTTTCAATTTTTATCGAGATCTAAATTGGACGGCACCGAACGGGGCCGGGGGGGTTTTTTTTTGATGCATTGAGTCTCAATCATTCGGAAGAGCCAGACTAGAATAGAAGGGGCGGCCCTCGTCTACTCACCCCCCGCGAAAGAAGCAACGAGATAAGTCACAAAGAGCACCATCTCGAGAGTCGAGTGCAAGTGGGAAAATGTCGATACCGGGTTAGAGAGCAAATTAGATGACAGACATCTCCCCCAAAAGTTTTCTCTAGACGCCCCTGAGGACAGACTCCAGTGGACTAGTCTTGCCAGATGGCTCACTCCTTCTGGGTGGTTTGAATCCTCGACTTCACTGCTGTGGAAATGTTGATCGGCGAGGTCTGGGAACTGAGCAAACACTTCGGACAGTTGAAAATGGCTGTTGAGCCTTGGAACGGCGGGGCAATGGTATGCCTCGCTATTTCTGACGGACCTTCCAGATCGGTGGCATGCACTTCCATCCATTCCTTGATAATCCTGGTCCGTCACCATCACCGCGCTCTCCTACTTCTCCATCTCGAGCTCCTCACCGAGAATAGTGACATTTTCGCCAGCATCGGTATCACCGGTAAAACCACTTCTGTGGTTTTCGCCATCTTCGGCCACCTCCATCTCGTCATCCTCTTCCCCCTCGACGGCGGCTCTCGCTCCTTCCGTCACTCTATACCCCCTCCACAGACACCCCGATGAATAGTGCTATAAATCCTATCAGACCATACCAGAATTAGCCCTTTGAACACCATAAGACAGAACAGAACAAAACCGTCATAACCCTTGCTAAGCTAAGGCTCTCCTATCCCACGGAAAAGTTTAGGATAGGTCTTCCCCACCAGGGGGTGACCCAGCGATTGGAGGTGAATCTTCTCGGTTTCCCTTTTGTAGAAACGCCTAGCGCCGAATCCGGGAGTGCCGGTCTCAGTGATACCCTTGGGCTTTCTGCAGTTTTAGCGGTTGATAAAGAGGTTCCGTCTATCTTTGGGGGGGGGGGGTTCTTTTCTTGGCGGTTGAGTGGTGGGGTTTGCGGCATTTTTGGGATATAGCAGTATCATAGTTGAGGTGAGGGATGTTTCCTTTTGGTGTTCGATAGTCAGGGAAGCCCGGCGAGTGAGTCGTTGTGATCCACAGATTTAGATAACTTGGAGTGGCTACAGTTGCAGATTTCTCCACCCACGCCACGCCACCAGCTGTGCTTCCCTGCAATTCGAAAGTTAAAAGTGTCCGGAAATATTGGATCTCATTGTTCCGGACCGTGCCAAGGTTCTGGATGCTGTCGGTTTCTGTAAGTAGGGTGGAAGGTGGTGTCGGTGGAGGCCTAGGTCCATTCTTGGTTAGTAACCTAGGAGATCAAGAGAACGGTGCTCTTAGAAGGGAAGGTGGTACCTTCACAAGTGGGGGTTTGGTGCTCAGCGCTAACATTTACAGCCGGTTGTACCGTGGTTCAAGCTAAGTTACGGAGTAGGTTAAATCTTTGGTAACGGCCTTCTGGGTAGTGTGTTGTGGAACCACCAGCATGCTTAATACTATACCGCGAGCGCACCTCTTAACGTGCAGTCCAGAAACCAAGATCCTCTTCAGTGCTGCTGTTGAGCATCTGAAAAACAGGGGATCAAAGCATGATCGAGTGGTGTTCAATTCATTGTTGGTGTTAGAAGTTGTAGCATGCTGTATTATGAATGGAAGAAAAAAATTGTTTCTAGTATGATATCATACAAAGTTTTTTTTTTCCAACCTGTACTCTTTCCAAGTTATATCGGCGCCTTTTCCTTGCGGTGTCTTGCTCCCTTTGCCCGCACGACTTTTTTCTGCCGTGTTGGTGTTGGGCGACGGATCTCCCGTTTGATCTAAATTTACCGCTATGACAAAAATACCAGAGGCGCAACCGGGACACGGCGAAAACCGGAGGATGGCTAGCAGGGGCAGGAATGCTGATTCGTCGGAATACCGGTAGGGTAACAAAATAATAGTAATCTTTTATCATATCTTGAGCTGCGCTTAAGTTGTGCATCTGGATTCATGCAGCACTTAAAGTACTAGTACTCCTGCCGATAGTATAGTAGTTACTGTGACATCGGGTAGTGCGGGAGTGAACCGCTTTCCGTCCGTTGCCCTGAAACTACCAAAATCGTGCCCAGGAGTGCGAAGGCCAGGTTTGGCAACAGTCAGTTGAACTTGGGATGATCTTCAGTCTGCGTTCAAGTGACTCAGCAGGCTCGCCGAGCTCAAACATTCTCAACAGATCATAAATCCTAAATCCTTCTAGGACAGGCTTAGCGTACCTGGCTGCGAATTGACTATCATTACTGTGCTTTAGAGCGATCTGGAGGCTGCCTTAAAAAATGATAGTTTCCTGGAGGGGCCTAGTATTGTTCACCTATCATACCGGACTGAACAACACTTTATTTGCCTGCCCTAGCGCCAATCCTGATTCAACCAAATTTTGCGAGTTCTAGTGATGTTATAAAAGTCACAGAGGATTGAGTGCAGGATCTTTAAGAGTTGCTTTATCGAGAGGATAGCCTTCATCCCGATAGGGTTGGGTGTTGAGTCTTACATGGGTGCACATGTTAAATATATCGCACCAGACTGATCCCTGTTAGTCTAGTGGCGTGCCAGTTTTCTTCCGGGCCCCCGTTAGAGATTGTCTATCCGAGCGGTCAGTGCGTGGGTATCAGTATCGCGCGCGTTCTCGAATATCCGAGTGCAGTACTCGAGTACTTGTGCCAGAACTTGTATCCGATGATGTGTCTGAAAATGAGACAAAGTCTCTTTCACTTGCTGGGTGGTTGTGTAACAATAGACGTTTCTTCAGAAACTAAGTTAATCCCCAGATACCGGTAGCTTGCCTATACTGTACAGTACCACGATGACCCCCCAGGACCCAATGATCCTTACGGTGCTTGGTGAGATGAGGGGAACTTGGTGAAATAGCGTATTTGTACCATCACTAGGAGAGGGTGGATCAGAATTTTCCATCTTTCCTTGATGGGGGCTTTCTTTCATTTTTCATTTTTTCCTTTTTCTTTTTCCTTTTTCCTTTTTGCTTTTTGATACTCCCGAGAGCGGGATGTCGACGAGCAGACACGGGGAAGCCCCACGACGCCAGTTCGAACACTCGAGTAACCCTTTGGGGTTTTGCGGCCTGTCTTCCGCTTTTTTTTGGTAGGAGCGATGTAGATGCGAAAAAATAGGGCGCACCGGAGAGAGCGACTAGGGTATCCACAAAGATGATATCTACAGTAAGTTGCAATACGAGCAGAACACCCTGACTGAAACAGGAAGGATTTTGATGGAAAAAATTGGAAAACGGTGTCACCTTTCGGGGTCAATTTTAACATCTTCTGATTACCGGATTTCGGGCTTAGGTTCCGGGGCGTTCCCAGTGAATTTGTGAGTCGAGGTAAGTGAGAGACAAAAGCATGCTGGTAGGGATGGAGGAGGTTAGTTGTTTGACTTACAGTACTGTACGATCGTACACGTACCGGTACTTAGCTGGATAAATGGGTCTTGGAATGCATGAAAAACTGTCTTGTGGGTGTAACTTAGTACTGCCCCACAGTCATTCCATTGGCGTTGTTGGTGATAAGCTGGGTGACATCCGGTAGGTAGCGTGGTCGATCCACAGATCGAGGTCATATCAAACACGCTACAATTTACTTGGCCCGTGATCTCGTCAATAGAAATTCCACTATATAATCTGTGGAGGCGGGAATCAATCTCAATCTAGTTGAAAATAAAAGAAGAGCTTATATTTGGTTTAGCCTCAAGCGTTTTCGGGAACTACACAAGCATAAATTATGTTACAAAGAGATGATGCCGCCTCGAGTGACGGATGTAAGTAGGAAAAACAAAGGTGCATATTAAGTTGTCGATTCCCGGAGAGAAGGCAAGGCTGACAATATGCTCCTCCGGGATCTCCTCTCAGCACCACGAAACTAGAGACCCTGTCGGTCCAAGTTTGCAGGATAACCCGCGCACCACTAGTTCTGGGCATTCGGTATCCGCAACTTCATCCCAGTCGAAATCTTCCATAGTCAGGTCTGGGAGCTGAGGAGACACCTCGGGCTATTGTAAATGGAAGTTAGCTTCCATAGGGATAAATCAGGATGGAGGAAAAGGGAGACGTACCCTCATCAAATCTAATAGGTCTTCCAACCCTATGGCCGCCGCTTTCATTTCTTCTTCCGTCACCTCCCTGTCCTGATGGTGCTGCTTAGTTACCGTCACCTCCTCCACCTGGTTCTGTTCCCGCCCAACTTCCTTATCGATCATCACCACGCCCTCATCAACATCAGAATCACAAATAGGCCCACATCCACAGCGATCACCGGCTTCAGGAGTCTCCGCTTTCGTTTTGTCATTCCACGCCTTTCCTCCGGCCACACTCACCCTTTCCACCTGGTTCGCATAATTCTTCCTTATCTTGTAACTCAAAGACCTAACAACCTGATGGACAGCCTTATGAATGCTACCGTTGCCAAAGTTAATCCATCGGACCCTTTCGAATGCTGGGAAACAAATCGAGAAAAAAACCTACCCTTCGTAATCCTGCGGCCAAGCCAACCCCTTTCCGCCCCCAGGAAAAAACTTCGGCCCGAGCTGCAAAAGGGCGTTATGGAGCCATTGACGGTAAGCCCTCTCGCTCTCCCTGCTACTGAAACGTTTACCTTCGAATCCGGGTGTGCCAGGGAGGGTAATGGACTTAATGTGAACTTTTAGATCAAAGTACTGGTTGGGGGTCATGCCGGTTTCGGCGATGTACTTGGGGGTTTTGCTGGTTTTGATAGTTTCCGTTGACTTTCTTCCCATCGCTGCTGTGGGTACCTGGTTTCTCGGTGGTGGTGGCAGGAGTTGCCGTGTTGACTCTGACAGTGTAGTCGTAGCAGGAATAGAGAGGGTGGGACGTTTTTATTTTAGTAGTATAGAGGTAGGTGGTAGAGGTTGTGCTCGTAGTAGGAGTAGTAGTGGTTGTAGTGTTAAGAGCGGTAGCGGCGAGTGAGGGGTGATGATGGGAAGGGGGGGGGGGGTAACCTATGATAGTCGCTATAGTTTCGTTGATTTCTTTACTCGTACTGAAGTTGCTGTAGTGTTGAGGGTGGTGATGGCGGTGGCTCGGGCAGTGCGAGGAGAGTTAAATAGTTGGGTAGGCTGTGGTATCTGTATGTAACTATGAGGATTTAGGGTTTCACCTTGAGTCTCGGGTCACTCCCATGTTATGTAGGCCAGGTTGCCTTGGATGGTGAGGCGTAATAGTATGATATATGCATGCGTTTTCAATCCCTCAACATTCTATGATTGCTGTGGAATTTGCGGTTGGAAATGAGTTTCCTATTTTGGGGAGTATTATAACATCTGCTGGGATATACAAACGAGGCGGATGGTATCACCCCCTACGGTCCCATAGTGCAGTGCTGAATTTCCTACCCTTTTGTAGGTAAATACTGCTTATTATGAATGGTAGTAAACCGATACTGCGAGTTGGTGGTACTAGAGGTCTACTTGAACAGCCGCTTTCGCTATAGTATGACCCCAGCCACTCCCAGGGGGCTCGCTTTTCGGGGGTACTCTAAATAGTGCCCGGTATCCCACCACCTTTAGAGTGCCCTCGGAAAGCGGAGCTGCAAAAGATTGCGGGGGCTGTGGCACCCAAGCGCAACCTCGACGCAGGTATGTGGGTGCGGGTGACAAGGAATGGCCTTCAGGTATCATAATTATGAGTGTTTATTTTGCTTATTTCTTGCCACGACATAAATCCCGCCCAACGAGCAGTGATTGTTATTCCCGGTAGGATAGGTTTTGCATTTCTCCTATTCCCGACAGTATACCTCGGACTCGCTATTTTTCCCCGGGATCGGGAGAGGCAGAGAATCCATCAGTCTCGGAACGTTAAGACCATGTGTGGCTGTGTAGCAAAAATCAGCACCGCTCTTCTTAGTAACAGCCTTACGGGCATCACCAAAGATTGGGAGATCCATTGGAAAAGGAAAGCTTCACCCCAGTGGGCAACCTCCTCTTCTGCATTCTTGGATGAGGTACGATAATTTGACATTCTTTCTCTGAGGACGTGGATAGACCCACTTCGTAATGCTGCCCTCGGGTCATCTCTAGAGATGTTGCGGTATTATGCTTAGGTAGGAGAGTCTAACACCGCCTCCGTGGCAAGGGATGCGGGAGAATCACAAACTTACCATCTTCCATGAAGGGGGTTTTCTTTTCTCACTCCCTACTATGGTAGAATACACAAACCAACGGGCCATGGGAAAAACTCGGTGATGAGGCTATAGTTTGGAGGGCCGCTTTTTTTTGTTTTCTTATGTAGGTGAGTGTCCCCCCCATCCTTCAGGTGTGGATTTCTTGATTTTCTAAACTTCGGCCATCAATGTGGCAGTAGGGACTGTAATTGCACTCGTAAGGATCTGACTAATAATTGTGGAGCGGTTTTTGTTGGTGGATTTTCAATAGGAAATTCGTTTCCAGCATCCACGAGAAGCCACCCAACAGCGTCAATGCAATAAAGTGTGGTGGCCGAAAGCGGGAGAAATTCTTTTGTGGAAATATTTAAACTCTAGGAAAGACCCCTGCATTATTACTGAATAAATATTTATGTCAATTCTCCACAATACCGGTAAGGCTACCCCCCGTGAGATGAATCGACAGTTTTGACTCATTCTCATTCTCAGGAATTGCACTTATGACCCAATGTGCCCTGGCGATGTTCTTTGTCAACGGATTGAGGTTCTGTGGTGGCAGAACCTTGGCCAAGCAACATACACCCTATCTTGGGAAGGTGTCACTTCACGACAAAATTTCCATAAAGGAGCAACGGGTGAGAAGGCAAATTGAACCCGAATATAAGGGACAAGACTATTTCGCTATTTTTTTTTTTTTTCAATCTAGCATACAAAAAAATCAGACTACAGCAACAGAAAAAACCCTCATCTCTTCACCCCCATAGATAGTTAAGCAAGAAAACAATAAGGAGGGTCATCTCGAGTCTCCAATGAAAGGAGGAAAAAATTGATGCCAAGTTAGGCAATCAGCAAGAGGAGGCGAATACTCTGCTCCCCCAAAGCTTAGCTTCATCACTCTGAATTGAGAGACCGGATCGGCCAAAGTTGGGCAAATAACGTACCTGTTCAGGGCGGGCAGCACCTGTAACATCAGCCCAGTTGAAATGCTCATCAGCGAGGTCGGCGAACTCAGCAAACACCTCAGGCTATAAAAAACATTTTGTTAGCGCCTAGGTAGTAGGGGAGGGGGTGTTTGGAAAGCGTACCTTCTTGAAATCCGAGAGGTCTTCCAATTCGATTGGTTCTTCTCGCATGGTTTCCTCGTCGAGGAGATTCTGGTCCACAACTATCTCCTCCTCTTGCTTCTGCTCCTGCACAGATTCCTCATCAGACATGGTGGCAGCTTCGTCAACATTAGTGTCATCAGCAAGGCTGCCTCCGCAATGTTCACCATCTTCAGCCGCCCCCGTCCCATTATCATTCTCTCCTCCAGCAACCCTCGATCTTTCCATCTTCTTCTTATGATCCTTCCTAATCTGATAACTCAAGGCCTGGATAACATGATTAACCGCACCGTAGATCCTATAGCGCCAGTTTTAGTCTACCCAACTCAATCGTGACAATATAAAAAAGAATCAAGTTAGAAAAAAAAGAAAACACACCTATCATAATCCAGAGGCCAAACCAACCCCTTCCCACCCCCTGGGAAAAACCTCGGTCCGATTTCCCGAAGGGCCTGATTGAGCCATTCACGGTACGCACTCTTGCTAGAGAAACGCTTACCTTCGAATCCGGGAGTTCCAGGGAGAATAATGGACTTGAGGTGAATCTTTAGCCCAAAGTATTGCTCGGGGGTCATGCCGATCTTAATGATGTGCTTCGGGATTTTGGCAGCTTTGATGGTTGGTGCGGAAATTCTAGCCATTTTTGCTTGTTGTGTAGGTGTTTTATTTTTTTGGTGGTTGAGTGATGGGAGTTGTGGTGGTGGTGGTGGTGGTGGTGGTGGTGGTGGTGGTGGTGTTGGAGTAGTGGTGTTGGGGCGGTGGTGTTGGAGTGGGCTGGGAGGTCGACTCTTGCTCTATGCTAAGAGAGCGACGTTGTTAGGGCGAATGGCGGCGCCTCAAAAAATTATACCCAGGGTTGAAAGCCTACTGTTGACTCATTCTCAAGCCCTAGGGTAAGCTAAGCTTCTGGAAGGCCTCTTAGGTGATGTGTTTTCAATTCCCCAGTGCGGTACCACCATCACACAGAATTTGGGGCCGAGGGCAAGACACGACTTGTTTTTTGGGAGATATCCAATGAGGCGCAGCAGGAACTCCTTCTGGACCTATGTCGGTGGTTTCACCTTCCATAGGTAGAGCATCGTGTAATTCAGCCATGGTGGGGGAACATTCTGCACAGGACTCCGCATCACTATTGCCTTTCCAGAGGTCTGGCCCGTTTCTACATTCCATGTTGATTAGCTTTGCAGTATCGTTATGGGAACCCCCGGGGCTATATAGCTTAATAGGTGTAATGTGGGATTCACGGATTGGAAATAAAATCACGTTTTAGGTGGGTGCATATGGGAAGCTATCCTGTATCACCTCCGAGGTGACACGTCTACTGTGCAAATTCCCTCTCACGGCCCCTAAAAAATTACAACATCAAGCTATATTATGTTCCTAGAGCTAGATCCCACTATCCTAAATCCCGATACGGCTTCGCCTTCTGGGCTTGAGACCAGACATACTAAGCTGTCATCTCTTGAACTATTAAGCCCACAGCGCTTCTCCCCAAACCAATTTTTCCCCCAATAATCGCCTTAATCATTACCCCTCACTCGGACTTTTAGCTCTTCCAATAGACGAATTAACCAACAAATCATGCCGCCGCTCCTCTCCCTCCCCAATGACCTCATCTGGAATAGATACGAAGACCTTCCACAACTGGGCGTGGCACCCTCCTCCGGAAAAACAAGCGGATCTTTTCCACCTCCTATGGAGCCCCTGGCAGAGTTCTTCCACACAATCGCGTGAACATGGTTGTCCACATACCAACTCTCGTTGCGAGTATCTTGTTGCAATAAAACATCTGAGAGCCCAGGGTATGCTAGACATTGCTAACTAAGAAGCCCTCTTATATTAGGGGGTAGTAGCCAAGAGTGTCAGCGAGTTCGATGCATTCCTACATTCCAGCCTAGACCTGGACACGAAAGACTCTAAGAGCAGCACCGCCCTGCCCCTCACGGCGGAGCACAGGCGAAGGGGGCAGCGGGGCCTATTGGAGGAACAAAAAATTTCATGACTCTACTGCTACTCGCTGAGGAGAGGGGCATGGAGAAGTCGCGCAGATACGGGTGGAGGGCGCGGGTGTGGAATTACGTATTCGGGATGCCTCGGGGAAGAATCACCTTCACGTTTCCACCCCGGGGGGATACGCCCCCATCTTGCGGTTCCTATTGGAGTTTTCTGGCGTGAAGGTGAGGATTGCTTGGGAAAGCCGGCATTGCATTTCAATGCTGGAGCTGAGGATTACCTAGCTGTGCAATTCCCGTCCGAGGACGAGCGCACCCACTATAACACCCTGGATTACGAGGGAGATACTGGGTAGCATGCTGCTACTGTGTCGCAGCAAATCCCTGTCATTGGGATGGTGGTTTGGAGTTGGAACTTTGAACCTGATAGAGAGGGCTTCCGTGAACCAACTCCGCTGTAGGCTGCGGCCACTAGGTCTGAAATCGATATTACAAACCTGTTAGCGTCTTCACCTCAGATGGGCATGGAGATCCCGGGACATTTGACAGCTGGGAATACCGCGCTGAACACAGCGACTCGAACGGACAATCTGGAAATTGTGAACTTGATCCTAAAGGACAGACGAGTGGACACCGACCCCAGAAGCCCCGATGGAGAAACACCCCATACCGGCGCCAGAAACGGAAACCTGGGCATCTTCCGCCTGCTCCTCTACATATAGAGGCGGGCGTTAGCAACGCTCCTTTACAACCTCATAGGAGCGGCCGTACGCACGTTGTGTACACCCCCTTATTTGATCCGCGCGCAGATGTCAACGAAACAGCGCCCAACCTAGAAAGGTCACTTCACCTCTCTGTGTGGTTAGGCCTTGCGGGTATTGTACAGCTATTCCTTCAGCATCTGCAGATTGGTTCAGCGTCAGACCATGCTGATAACGGAGCCCCCCTGGGGCCAAATTTATGGAACCTCCTAGGGGGGGGGGGGATTGTGGATCTATCGGCTGTGTCATATGTGGAGAGGACGCCTTCAACGATGCAGGTGTCTAGATGGATTATTACAGTATACGTGTCTATTATAGTGGCGGTGTGGCTTGAGGAACTGGTCTCCATATTATAACTTTCTCTTAGATTAATCGAGGGTTTCCCCAATGAACGTTCTTGGTGTATGATAGTTCCTCCTCTACTTAATATAGTCAACTTAGCCCAGCTAAGTCGCTGTAATATAATGCGGAGGCTTAAGCCCACCGTTTAATTTCCAGACAGGGACGCGGGGACAGTGAATGTCTGTGCCAAGATATTGACTCACGAGGCATCACTCGTCATTCGATCAAGACTTGATGTGAGAATCCTCAGAGGTGGGCAATAAAAAATAAACACATTACGCTCACCGACTACAGAATAAAGTTTTAGAAACGGACTCTGGGTAACCAAAAAATTGCGGAAGGCAAACGTCAAACATAAGAGCCTGTGAACACGCCATAATACTTTATAAATGTGTGATAGGGATCGAGGATGGACTCTGTATGAAGGAAGCACCTGCTGAAGAGGTCTGCTTAGATGGTTGATAGCACGATTTTCCTACACTCATTAATTCCGTTCTTCTGTCATAGCGTCGCGAACTTTCTATATAGGTGTTACATGTCGCTAATTTGGGATTAAACACAGTACCAAAACCCGGTAGAAAACAATGAAAGATATACCATCTATATCACCAGCCCATAGTGAAGGTTCCCAACCCAGCCGCTAACCCCCCTGCAAATGTGGAAATATGGT